GAGGGCTCATCCCTCACCCCTGGTTCCTTGCCACCTACTGCAAGCAGGGGTGGGGAGAGGGTGGGGACTGGTTCTGGGGTCATGAGGGTGGGAGAGCTGGTCCTACCCTCACCGGCTGTAGCATGATTGGACCCTAAACCTTGCCTGGATGGCACAATAGAGCTGAGCTGACCCTGCTGATGGAGGCGCAGGTGATTCAGAGCCTAGGATGTACATGTTGGAGTGGGTGAGGCAAAAATGACCTCCCTGACTGTCGCCACCGGTGGCAGAAGGGAGAGCTGGCCCGAGGCCATAAGAGTGGGAGAACTGACCCTGTCTTTGTGGCCATGGGTGAGGGAAATATGCCTACTCTGGGACCTGAGAAGGGAAGAGATGGCCCTGCCCCTCATCCACTGCAGTAATTAGGAGAGTGGGCCTTGCACCTTGCCTGGGCCAAACAGTAGCGCTGACCCTGGTGGTGTGAGTGTGGGTGAGTGGGACCTGAGGGCACGAGAGCAGGAGAACTGGCCCTGCTCCTTGCTGCCTGCTGCACTGGGTGGGCCAGTACTGGAGAATTTGTCCCGACGGTGACCATGAGGGAAAGCTGGCAGGCTGACCAACCCAGCTACCACCCAGGCCCAGAACCAGGACTACAAGGTAGCCCACCCCAACACCCTTATGAACTGCTGGAGCATGTGAAGGGGTCAGACCTGCAGATCCAAAGCTACAGGATTGGAACTCCAGGACACAAGGCAACAACAGGATATCCAAGAGGAGTCCCAGTGAGGGCTCAGTATTGATGTAGTAGAAGCCAGAGGTACTGAACCAGACCAATGACTCATTGCAATGCACACTTACAAGCAAAGATGTATAGACTGAAGGGTCACTGTGTGACTCACTGGGCCACACTACAGCTTCCACGCCCAGATTATTTTTAGTTGTGTGTTGTTGTTTATTTGTTTGTTTTTGCTTTTAAATTTTGTTTTGTTTTGGAGGAGGTTACAAGGGCAGAGGGCAGAAGTGAGAAGACAAGGAGACGAGAGGGATCTGGACACATGATGTGAAATCCACAAAGAATCAATAAATACTTAAAAAAGGAAAGAAAGAAAAGGCCTTTGAAGTGACACCCACGCTAGGCTCAGAAGTGACGGGGTGAGTAGGGGAATGAAGATGGGCAAGCTGATCCCAGGCAAGAGGAGCTACAAAGTGTGTGAGCAAAGGGGTAGGTAGGCATACCAGTCGGGGTTCTGTAGAGGAAGGGAACTGTCAGAAAGACCTGTATACATATAAAAAGGATACATTAGAAGACTTGTGACTGGCCGGTGGTAGCACACACCTTTAACCCCAGCACTTGGAAGGCAGAGGCAGGCAGATCCTTGTGAATTCGAGGCCAATCTGGCCTACACAGTGAGTTCCAGGGTAGCCAGGACTGTTTCACAGAAAAATCCTATCTTAAACAACAACAAAGAAAAAGACTTACAGGCTGTGGTCCAGCTGGTCCAACAATGGCTGTCTCTCAACAGAAAGTCCAAGGGACCCGCAGTTGCTCTGGGCCACAGGGTTGGAAGTCTCGATTGGTCCTCAGTTGCAATCCCAAAGAAGTAGGCTCTAATGCCAGTAAAAGAATGAACTTGCTAGTGAGAGCAAAGGCAAGCAAGCAAATAACAGTGCTTGCTTCCTCCATGTCCTATATATGGGGTGCCATGAGAAGGTGTGGACCAGATTCCTACCTCAAGTGATCCAACCAAGAAAAATCCCTTATAGGAAACCCAGCTGTGTGGGTTTCTAGCTAGTTCAAGGTGCAGTCAAACTGACAACCAAGAATGGCCATCACAAGTCCCCCCTTGACACACACTCGTAGCTCCTTATGTCATGCTTAATTTCCAATTGAAAACAATAGTCAGGCCCTAATTATGCCTAACAGAATGTTACCCCACGTACAACCACAAACACTTCAGGCGTTTTAGAACAGGTTGCAGTATTGCCTGAGGGACATTCTTCTAGCGCCTTATAACTTAAATATGATAACCATTGATAGAGCCTCAATTGATGTTACATCACATGATAAAGCAATCCAGGAAAGAAAACAGATATCTGTTCAGACACATGCTTAACACAACACTACAGAAACACGCCTGTCAATTTGATCCTCGGTTCTGCAGCTGGTCACGTGGCCTGAGTCGGTATTTATCTCTACCCTCCTCTACGATCCATTCTGTACATCCTCCACCCTCAACAAGCACCTCCCCAGGTCTTGGTTCTTTTTCTAGAGGAGCGATTCATACCTTCGTTTCTGAAGGGCCTGTGCCCTTTGTCATCCAGACTGTGTTGGGTGGTTGCGGTTTAACCATGGGATGTAATAACTTCAAAAGATGCCCTAGCACATCTCCTGCACTTCCGACGTGATTTTCCTCATCCCCCCTGAAAAGCAACCCAATTTCCCCAAGGTAATTTGCATCTATCACCCCACCCCACCCCCACACACACTGTTATCCCTTTCTTAGCCTGTTGGCTTAAGGCCCAAAGTGGCCTTCGGGAAGTCTGAGCTTCCAGTTCAGTAGAATGTTTGTTCTGTCTCCAGGCAGTCACACTCCCTACTCTGGAATCAAAATTGAGCAGAATTTAAGATCGCTGGAACTGGAAGCAAATATTTTCCTAGTGGCTCACTAGGGGTGATGGATTAAAGTTTGCAGTAGTCAGCTGTGATCCTCCGTCATTGACTTTGCCTCCTGCTCAGGCCAAAGGGAAAGTTAGAGGGAGATGTGGGAACCACCATCCCCGCATCTTTCAAGTCTTCACTAATCTCCAGGATGTAATGCTGCTTTGGGTTCCCTATTTTCCCTGGTAAAGAGAACTCCAAAGGCTTCCGTTTAACTTTCTAGGTATAATAAGCCTCACTCAACAGGTCAGGAAACCAGAGTGGAAATTCCACTAATTTCTAAGAATATCTATCCCAATTATACTTTCTAATCCCGGGGAAATAATCCCAGAATGAGTTCTGTGACCCACTGACACCTACTGGGAGTCGGACTTCAGCCAAAACTCCTTTTAATCACCTGACCTCTGCGAGCTCCGACTTTAACTGGAGGGCCCCATGTTTCTTGGGGTCTCCTGAAATTAGAATACATTCAGAACCAGTATCCCACAGCCCCAGAAAGTCTGATTGTTTCTTTCCCCCATCATACAGTTACTCGTGTAAAAAACCATCGGTCCTGAATGACGGGCAAAGGCTGACAGTAAAACTCTTGGGCATTTTACCAAGGTCCTTCCTCAGGGGAACTTGGCTTCCCTTCATTCAAGGGGTTCTAGGTCTAAAAACTGAAAGCCAATCCACAGACCAAGGTTCTCTTTTGCCATGATCCAGTGTAGTCTTTCTTTCATTTGGTCAAGATTTTCCCCCACTTATACAGATCAAGCAAAAAAACGCAGCAGGTTTCTTATTTATTTCATGCATGGGAACACCATGAATGATTAGCCACTACCAAAGGTCCATACAGGTCATGCCACTATATATATCACATTTTGTGGGCTGCTTTTTACAGGTCAGGTCATTACGGACATTGCTTTGCCTATGCGGTTCATTACAATAACCATAATCATCCTGCCTTTGGTACTCAGTGCTGCCACCCGGCCTCTGCTACTTTGGGGCCCAGTTAAACCCATGGAATTCAATCATCCAATAGCATCTCTGACCATAAGGTCTAGCAAAAGGAAAGGGTGACAACCAAGCTCTTCGAATATGCTAGGGTCCCTCTCGTTATTTTGCATCTCATAGAGTTAGTGAAGGGTGTGTCTCCCAGGCCTTCCCATTGTGGAGGATTGGGTTTTACACAAGTATTGACTCTAGCA